GATGATTGTTTTGTGTCCTCTATGAATGACTTGGTTACTCCTCTGTTGACTGTTAAAAAAAATCTACTGCAAGCCGGCTTATTCCCAGGTTCCGATGAAAATTGTCACCTTTGCAAATCTCTGTCGAACGGTTGTTTGTTACTAAAGATAGGCGTCCAATTCCTGATGACTAATAAAGAAATCCTATTTGAAAATCTACCCCTTATCAAGATCTCTTATCAATATGTTTCGATAATCACCATTTTCGACAATCCTCCTAGGGTCTCCACCAAAAGACCCGTCAGGATTACACCTACTCCCAGAACTGTACCTTTGATCATCACTATGCCAAGACCAATACCATACTCCTCAAATAAAGTTGTTCCCTGGAGTTATGAGGCTGACGTTTACTACTACGGTGTCAAGAAAGATCAGTTGGCTGTCACAAATGAAGTTACGAGAGATATTGATCCTGATATCGGTAACATCACCAGAACCAGCAAAATAACGAGAAGTGGAAGAGTCTTATCACTTGAGATTTCTCCAAAGACCGTTGCTACTCTTGTGATCATCACTACTGCCACTCCTACCGACACCGCCAGTGATACTCCCGCTGTTGTTCCTACTGCCGATACCAGGGGCAAAGAGGCTTTGGTTGAGCCTGCCCAAGCAAGAGAACGTCATGAAGTTATCCTTAAAGCTTCTAGAAAAGAAATATAAGAAATCCTAAAGACAATCAAAAAAAGTGACTACAACATTGAAGAACAATTGGGGCAGACCCCCTCGAAGATATCATTGTTGTCCTTACTTTTGTGCTCTAAAACTCACGCCAAAGCCTTGGTAAAGTTTCTTATGACCGCTCACGTGCCCCAGGAGACCTCCATCGACCAATTTGAAGACTGTGTGGCCAGTCTAACTACTGATAACGGATTGGGCTTTTCCGATGCTGATTTAACCTCTAAGGGAAGGAAGCACAACGATGCCTTGCATATTTCCATTGAATGCAGGGGCACCACACTTTCCCATGTCTTGGTGGATACCGGTTCATCATTAAACGAGTAACTAAGAGCCCATGGAAAACCATGGATGAAAAGGGTGCTAATACCTTCCCTTTTCATAATCTACCCCCCGAACCCGAGAAATAATCTCGAAAGGTCTTTCCTGTGCTTTTTTACCTTTCATTTTGGATAAAAGAAAAGTCGGTGGCGACTCTTGCTATCCGCACAAGTGTGATCGAAACACAAACATCAAGTCAGTTCTCCCACCGTATCACAATGACCTTCACCTTTTCAATGCCCAGTTAACAGTGCCAGTACCTTGTACCCTGAATTTCTAATAAAATCAATACACTTTGTCATTCTAAACCCAGTTTTCGTCTGGTGGCCAGTACCCGTCTGACAAATAATTTAGTCTTCCAACACTCATCTGTGTCAATTCCTAAACACTCGTATGTGCCAGTTTACTAAACACTCATCCATGTCAGTTCTTCAAACACTCGTCTGTGTTAAATCTTTTGATACTCGTTTGTATCTTCCTGCAGTACTCGTCTGTATTGATTCCAACACTCGTATATGTTAAATCTTTTGATACTCGTTCGTATTTTCCTTCAGTACTCGTCCGTATTGATTACAACACTCGTCTGTGTTATCTCTTCCTTGATACTCGTCTGTGTCTCCTTTCAATACTCGTCCGTATTGATTCAAACGCTTGTCTGTGTTTAACCTTTTGATACTCGTCTGTATCTTCTTTCAATCCTCGTCCGTATTGATTACAACACTCGTCTGTGTTATCTCTTTGTTGATACTCGTCTATATCTTCTTTCAATACTCGTCCGTATTGATTCATACACTCATCTGTGTTTAACCTTTTGATACTCGTTTGTATCTTATTTCAATACTCGTCTGTATTGATTCAAACACTCGTCCGTGTTTAACATTTTGATACTCGTCTGTATCTTCTTTCAATACTCGTCCGTATTGATCCAAACACTCATCCGTGTTTAACCTTTTGATACTCGTCAGTATCTTCTTTCAATACTCGTATGTATTGATCCAAACACTCGTCTGTGTTTAACCTTTTGATACTCGTCTGTATCTCCTTTCAATACTCGTCTGTATTGATTCAAACACTCGTTTGTGTTTAACCTTTTGATACTCGTCTGTATCTTCTTTCAATACTCATCTATATTGATTCAAACACTCGTCCGTGTTTAACCATTTGATACTCGTCTGTATCTTATTTTAATACTCGTCCGTATTTATTCAAACACTCGTTCATGTTTAACCTTTTGATACTCGTCCATATCTTCTTTCAATACTCATCCGTATTGATTCAAACACTCGTCCGTGTTTAACCTTTTGATACTCGTCTGTATCTTCTTTCAATACTCGTCCGTATTAATTCAAACACTCGGTCGTGTTTAACCTTTTTGATACTCATTTGTATCTCTGTTCAATACTCGTCCGTATTGATTCAAACACTCGTCTGTGTTTAACTTTTGATGCTCATCTGTATCTCTGTTCAATACTCGTCCGTATTAATTCAAACACTCTTTTGTGTTTAACCTTTTGATACTCGTCTATATCTTCTTTCAATACTCGTCCGTATTGATTCAAACACTCGTCTGTGTTTAACCTTTTGATACTCGTCTGTATCTTCTTTCAATACTCGTCCGTATTGATTCAGATACTCATCCATGTTTGGCCTTTCTTTGGTACTCGTCTGTATCGATTCAAACACTCGTCCATGTTATACCTTCCTTTTATTGGCATCCTGCTACGTTACAAGTTTGATCCCTCCCTTGTATTGGCATCACGCTATGTTACAAGCCAGATCCCTTCCTTGTATTGGCATCACGCCACGTTACAAGTCTTCTTTGTCCTTGTGCTTGCATCATGCTACCTCCCTTTTAATCATCATGTCCTGATCGATGTATTCCTGTTAGCCGTCGTGTCCTGATCGATGTCTTCCTTTTGGTTATCCTGCCCTGATCGATACCTCTCCTCGAACCATCGTGTCCTGATCGATGTCTTCCTTTTTGTTATCGTGTTGTGACCAATACCTCCACCTTCTTCGAACCTGAGATCGCCCGTAGGCTAGGTTCTTCCCTTAGATCATCGTCGAACCTGAGATCGCCCGTAGGCTAGGTTCTTTCCTTAGATCATCTTAGAACCTGAGATCGCCTGTAGGCTAGGTTCTTCCCATAGATCATCATCGAACTGAGATCGCCCATAGGCTAGGTTCTTCCTCAGATCATTTTAGAACCTGAGATCGCCCATAGGCTAGGTTCTTCCTCAGATCATCTTAGAACCTGAGATCGCCCGTAGGCTAGGTTCTTTCTTAGATCATCATAGAACCTGAGATCGCTCTTGGCTAGGTTCTTCCCATATATCTTGTCGTCGAACCTGAGATCTCCTCTTGGCTAGGTTCTTCCCATATATCTTGTCTTAGAACCTGAGATCGCCTCTTGGCTAGGTTCTTTCCATATATCTCGCTTAGGACTTGAGATCGCCCTTAGGCTAGGTTCTCTGTCAAATCACTCTCATGTTTCACCTTAGGATCGTAGGTCGCCCGTAGATTTCGTCCACTGTCTTTTCATACCAACCATTTGTCTTGTATTGGCATCACGCCACGTTACAAGTCCAATCTCCGTCTCTTCACTGAAAAAACAAAAAAAAATTATTCCCCCAGCAAATAAAAATAAATAAACACTTATACTCTCTCTCAGGACAAATTTTTGGCATTGATATTTAATCATCTTCTACCTTGAACTCCCGAAAGTCACGTGCCAATCGTACTTTCAAGTATAAGACGATTAAATAGAGGCAGCTGTAATACCCCAAATTTGTCCTACCCCTTTTACTTTTATTTGGCTTATGCATTTCGCACTTTTCACATGTACATAACCTTCCATTAGGTCATTTAAAAACATCATGCATCATTAATCAATCAAATGGGCATAGGATCGGGGATCTTGAAGCTAGGGTTTTTTACTTTGGGACTTTCACCTTCATTCAAGCTTGTTTCTACGGGTTCCTCCATCAATCATTGGTTGAAAGCTAGGGTTGCTTGTTTAAGCATTATCGTGAACTTCTTCTTTCATCAAGCTACAAGGATCCCATTTTCATCAAGATATTCAAGGGTGTCTCGAGAAGACGAGGATTTCTCATACATGGTTTGAGCTTGTTAGCATTCATCAGTGCAAAGATCATGGATGGGGTTATCTCAAGGGTTTTCCTCTATGATTCAAATCCCATTCATCTTCATCCAAGGATTCTCCAAAGAGTATTGTTTTATGTTAAAATCATCAAGTAAAAAAATAATTCTTTCAAATCAAACATTTGAAGATAGAGTTTCCGATATTTTGATTCATGCTACAAAAGATGAAGTGGTGATTGAGACACTAGTGTGTTACTTGAGATACAAGTTAACATGGATAGAAGAGTTGAATTAGGGGTTTTCATGGAATTTAGGGCGATTCAAACTCGGTTAAAGTTCATTTTGGTATTAAAATGAAAGAGGAATTTACTTCGAAATCAAGTCACAATCAAGTTCAAAGTTCATTCAAACATTTGAGGTTTTTTGAAAGCTTGGTGATCTATTCATAAATGTCAAAGGAAGTTTGGTTATTCAATACCTTGATGGATCAATGTCCATGACTCATCCATAAGCGAATACAAAATTAGAGACGGGAGAGAAAGCTACTTGAAGTATTTGGATTTTGTCATTGGAACTCAAAGGTTCTCATTACATCACAAAGTCATCATCATTTTGTCAACATAATTACAAAAGCAAAGAAAGAAATTAACGAAAGGGAAATCTACTTTGAGTATTTGGAAGTTGTCATTATATTATCAAGTATAAGATCATTTCATGGCATCTAATACATTATACCAAGTTAGAAAAGGCAATTTCAAGTATCAATAAACATCCATCACATACTATGGTACAAAATTTTATTACAACTTGGTTCGTGCAAAACATAAGGACCTAGATCTACATTCAGACTGCTCTCTCAGATTTTATATGCCTTCATTCACTTTTGCTTGGCTTGAGAAGATCTCCATAAGTCCGTCTCGAGTTGTTCTTGCTCTCCACCCCAAGTCCTGTCCTGCATCCAAGACTAAGTTATGCCAAACAACTAACTTGCTTCGAAACTTGAAACCAACCATGCCCTACAATTAATCAATCAGCAGCTCAGCAATGAATAAAATAATTTATAACAGTTTTTACTAATTCATAACAGAATTTTGCTCCCCAAAAAGAATCCAAAAACCAAGCCTAAACAAAATCTCATCCAAACACAAGCGATTCACTGAGTTTATCCCAACAAACTCCAAACCTCTTAACTACTGTGATATAAACTACTAATTACCTAACTGTTATCTCAAAAAAACAGAAAACCATAACCCCCTATAACCTCTAACAGAAAACTAAGTGTTAACTGATTCCTAACCAACTTCCAAATAGAACTAACAAACTTTCCATATAACAAAAATAACAGAAAGAGATAACAGAACGGAAAAAGAGGAAATTATTCACGGAAAAATAGAGAAAATCATAGAAGATGTTCACCTCTGGATCGCTGAGATTTCTCAGAAAAGCTTCATCCTTAAATTTCTCTCTGCTCTCTCGGCACACCGATTCCATATCATTCTTCTTCAATCGTCCTTAACAATCTACTTATTCTCTCTACAACGTGCAACACCACTGCTTTGGCACTGAGCGTTCCTCAGTTATCATCTTCATCTTCTGCAACAAAAAGCCACATCTATGTAAACATCAACGCGATTCTTGCATTTTCGGCATGGATCTTCTCTGTGCAACAACTTCATTATGTTTCATCATATGCTTCGACAAACAGCAACAACATCATGAATACTTCTCTGCATCAATAACTTCATAGAATCTGCAACAAACTCACACAAGAAATCTGAAGGAAAGAGAAGAAAGAATCAATACTGGAAAAGATGCAGTCACCTGAATAAAGAACCTCCGAAGTTCTTAGCATCTTTGTTGCGTCTGAGGCACCGTCCGAGCATTAATTTTGGGCCTCATTTGATGTTTGTTACTCTGAAAGGAAGATATTTGAAACTTGAGGAGAATGAGACCAAGCTGAAGTTAATACGAGATGTGATGTTCGTTGATGTGATGTTGTTGAAGGATTCAGAACCGTTTGATGAAGAAGAAGGTGAAGAGCGGAGCCGAAATCGAAGTTGAAGACAAAGACGAAGCAGAGACATGAGTGACACGGCAGAATCTGTTCGCCGGATGTTCTCCGGTGACGTAGATGGAAAGCGAGACCGAACCACAGATAATCTTAGACAGAGCTACGAAGACAAGCCAATCGCGCCAGAAACGAAACCGAGAGAGTGAAGAATTGGATCGTTGAACGAATCTGTGAGTCACGATTCGAGACGGAGGATGAAGCCATTGTAACAAAGAAGATGATGGAGAATTGATAGGTGTACGGAGCGAAGCGGGATGGCGGTGATGTGTCATCGGAGAAGAGGAAATTGGACGTAGCTCCGTGGTGAAGAGAATGAAGGAGGGAAATCAAGCTTGTGAAGGAAGATGCCAAGAGTAACAATTCTTTGAACCCTAATTGTTCACACACTCTTTGCTTTGTTTTTTATTATTGGTTTTTTTGTTAATTAGTTAATAATTAATCAAATATTAACATGTTGGGAAAAATCTAGTGGACTTGTTGATAGCAGGCCAGATACTGGACCGGACCAAGCTGCACTTTCCCCTAAGGCCCATAGGTTTTTTGGCATAAACTTATTCCCCTTATAAAAAATCTTGCGGATTCAAGCTGATTGGGCCTCTTGCTTCAACATACCTCATGGATTCCAGCTTGCACTCCCTTGGGCCTTTTTTCTATTTCTTGCTCGACGTGTACTCCCTGCTTCTCCATTTCCTTCGTCTGCTTTCAACATTCCGCTTGCCTTTGCTAAGATTTTATGATAGTATGTTGATGCAACTTTCGCAATGGGGAATGCTTGGAGGTTAATTCTTTGATCACTCGTGCGGAACAACTTCTGTAGAGTTATCTCATTGCTTGTGTAATTATGAAGAGGCAACGGACCTTATCCGTTCGGTATCATTTCCACTTTATTTTATTCCTCATTTCCGCACTTTACCGCTTTCTAGATATCATGAGAAGTAGGAAATAAAGAGCGTGCGCTCGAAGTCGCTGTTTAAAGACCTGTAGCAGGCATTCCGCACTTCATTTGCTATATGTGTTGTGTTGGTGTTTGTTTACTTTCTTGTTGATCGATGAGTCACTCAACTTAGTAATTGAGATCACGACTTCGCTCTCAGTGCATGCTCCCTATAGGATTTTATCGCTTTCTGTTATTTCTTGTTGATCGATGAGTCACTCAATTTAGAAATTGAGATTACGACTTCACTCTCATTGCATGTTCCCTATAGGAAAATTTTGTTATACTTTCTTTAGCATTCTAACCTAGATAGGATCTCTTCAGGTGTGCTCTCTTGAGCTTATAAGCTTGCTTGCTTTATCCTTGTACATACCATGTTCCCTTAGGATGCGCTTGCTCCGTTCGGACGCAAGTTAGACCTTAGGTTGTAAACCATGCATGCTAACATTAGGTAGAAATTTCCCCTTTCATCCTTGACGTAGGACTACCATTGTATGATAAAATTAGGTTAGAAATAGGCTAGTCTCCCATAGACTCTTTTCTTTCCCTTTTTGCATCCTTGCATTTAAAACTAACTCATTTTCTTAGCAAATCATAAAATATGCTAACAACACTTAAACCCTTTTTCAAGGTAATAAAACATAAACCAATTTAAACCATTTTGTGCGCTCAAGCACCCTTTCTCTAAAAACCCTTTTCAGGTAGGGACATGATTAATTTACTTCTATGCCAATGCATAAGTCTCTAAAGGTTGAGTTGCGGCAGAAGGCAGAATTAACTTCATTCATAAAAAACACAAAACAAACAAAAACATGTGAGCCGAACTACGGTAGCTCTGATTCCTCAAAAAGGATACGTAGGCATTGGGGTAGGGCCCAAGCGAGAATAATTTTATTTTCCCTACATTCTTTTCCCCTTTCTTTTGTATGCATTCTCCCTTCAGTAGTATAGTAAACAGTAAGCATAGTTTAAACACACCCGTAAGATAGACAACAGAAGTGGATACCATAGAGTACTACAGGCGTGTGGGGTGCTAATACCTTCCTCTCGCGTAACAGACTCCCTTACTTGATCTCTCGGTCGCAAGACCGTGAATTCTCCCTTCTCAAGTTTTCTCGATGTTTACCTTTCCCTACGCGTGGGATAAAAGACGTTCGATGGCGACTTCATTGTTTGATGATTTTCAGTCAGTTGTTTCAATAGTCGAGTAGTGAAAGGAGTATGACAGCCCTCAGGAGATATGATTATTGCGCCAATGCCGTTACCGAGTGCATTCGAAGCTCCATCAAAAAACATAGTCCATCAGGATCCCTCCTCGGGTCCTTCATCCGGTCCAGGTTCTTCGTAGTCAGTCACCAGCATAATATTCTCATCCGGGAACTCAAAATTCATGGAATGGTAGTTATCCACGGCCTGAGGAGCCAAATTATCATCCAATACACTCCCCTTGATTGCTTTCTGGGTTGTATATTATATATCATACTCAATTAAGATCATATGCCATCTTGCTATTCTTCCAGATATAGCGAGTTTCTCGAAGATGTATTTGATGGGATTTATCTTAGATATCAACAAAGTAGTGTGGGTCAGCATATACTGTCTTAGTCGGCGAGCAACCTATGCCAAAGCGCAGCAAGTTTTCTCGAGCAGTGAGTATCGTGTCTCACAGTCGGTAAACGTTTTGCTAAGGTAGTATATTACATGCTCTTTTCGACCAGACTCGTCATGTTGCCCCAGCACACACCCCATTGAATTGTCTAGCACTATTAAGTACAATATCAAAGGTCTTCCTTCCACTGGAGGCATCAGAATTGGCGGTTCTTGAAGGTATTCCTTGATTCTTTTGAAAGTTGTCTGGCATTCGTCATTCCATTTTACCACTTGATCTTTCTTCAGAAGCTTGAAGATGGGCTCACAAGTAGCAGTTAGATGTGAAATGAACCTGGAGATATAATTCAAGTGTTCCAAGAAACCTCTAACTTCCTTCTCTGTACGGGGAACTGGCATTTCTTGTATGGCCTTTACCTTCGCAAGGTCTACTTGGATGCCTTTGTCACTGACAATGAAACCCAGGAGCTTATCAGACCTTACCTCGAAGGTGCACTTGTTAGGATTCAACCTCAGCTTGTATGTCTTTAACCTGTCAAACAAATTTTGTAAATGATCAAGGTGCTCTTCTTCGGTTTGAGACCTGGCTATCATGTCATCAACATAAACCTCGATCTCATGATGGATCATATGATGGAACAAAGCGACCATGGCACACTGATAAGTGGCCCCAGCATTCTTCAACCCAAAAGGCATCACCTTGTAACAGAAGGTGCCCCACTGTGTGACAAAGGTTGTCTTCTCCATGTCTTCAGGAGCCATCTTGATCTAGTTATAGCCAGAGAAACCATCCATGAAGGAGAAGATTTTGTGTTGCGTGGTGTTGTAAACCAAAACGTCAATGTGAGGAAGTGAGAAGTCATCCTTGGGGCTTGCCCTATTCAGATCTCTGTAGTCCACACATATCCATACCTTACCGTCCTTCTTAGGTACCGGAACGACGTTAGCAACCCACTATGGATAGGAGGTGACAACTAAGAACCCTGCATCGAACTTCTTCATGACCTCTGCCTTGATCTTCTCTGACATTTTAGGGCACATATGGTGGACCTTCTGTTTAACCAGAGGACAGTCTTTCTTAGTCGGCAGACGATGTACCACAATATCAGTGTCTAAACCTGGCATGTTTTCATATGACCATGCAAAGATCTCAATGTAGTCATGCAACATTTTTATCAACCGTTGTTTGATCTTAACTTCCAGATTTGCGCCTATCTTGACTTCTTTTCTGTCTATCTTTGTGCCCAGTTTTATCGTCTCAATTGGCTCTTCATGAGGTTGTATAGCCCTTTCTTCCTGCTATAATAGTCTAGCAAGTTCTTCAGGCACCTCACAATCATCCTCACCTTCGTCTTCGGCTTGGTTGATCGGATTTTCGAAGTCATAACTGGCAATAGCATAGCTGTTATCAATGGGATCCATAGTGGATATGGATCTGCAGTATGATATGTGAGTGTGTGTAAGAGCATAGCTATTTTGATAAAGCGAAAACATAAAAGAAAAACAGAGAGCGCAAAATTTATATGCAAGGAATGTCTAATGTTTTATTGATGATATGTGAAATGAAAAATAATAGCCCTCACAAACAAAGCCAATGTGCCTCGGGCAAGGCACAAGGCTGTAGAGTTTAAATTGTTTATTACAAATCTCAAAACAAGTAAGACAATTACTGTGGAATAAAATAAACTGGTATAAAGTCCATAGTCGTCCAGTTACTCGGTCCACCATTGGTAGTTGGGTAGATCCAGCTGTCAATGTCAAAGTCTTCCTCACTGTCTTCAATGACATTAATTCCCCGATTGCTGATGTGTAGGGGAGGACCTCCAGCTCGAGCGTGTCGAACAACCCTTTGAGCTCCTGAAGTAAAGCCCATACCAA